TAAGAATTAAGGAGCAGGATAGAATAATAAATGAATAGCAGTGGGGTGGGGGGGGGGGGGGGGCAGGACAAAAGGATATAGAAGTAGAAATAGGACTAAGAAAGTGGCGATGGATGGGACACACCTTAAGAAAGCCCAGCGGAAACATCACAAGACAGTCACTGCAGTGAAACCCACTGGGAGCACGAGGCAGGGGTAGGCTACGGAGAACATGGAGGAGATGCGAGGAAAGGGACATGAGAGAAATGAAGCTCACTTAGAACGAACTTGGAAGGATGGTCCACGACAGAGATAAATGGAATGAGCTTGTATGTAGCCTATACCCTGCCAGGGATGAAAGGCATTGAATAATAATGCAGTGGAACTCGGATTCAGCGAGCTGGGATTCAACGAGAGGAGATGGATTCCCCCGTTTTGTTTTGTTTTTCCTTCTTTAAAATCAATAAAAATAATCCGTATTCAACGAACACTTAAAAATCAGCAAGCTCGGATTCAACGAGGTCGCTTCCAGTTTGAACAGCCCCCGCAGACGTGGCGTCGCTCATTTTTTTCCCACAACGAACTTTATTCCCGGAAACCATCCATTGCACCTGCATCGTGAACCGATTGCATGCAATTTGAACGAATCGGTCTTTTTTTGCACAGCTCATACTATGCAAGCATTTCAGGCACCACTTGTTACTTCTCTTTATGCATTATTTGCTCTGTGCCTGTAATTGTCTACACAAAACCTCATGTTTGCTATAACGAACACTCGGATTCAACGAGATTAAGTGAGGAAAACGGACAATGAACAGGTAAAAAGGGAAAAAAATTGGGACCTGGAACATTTGCAGCTTGACAAACAAAGAACCTGAGATAGTGGAGGTCATGTCCCAGAACAATATCTCCATCATGGGCATTACAGACACCAGGAAAAAAGGGACAGGGTAAAAAAAGATCCCCTCCAACTTTGTCCTCGTTTGGAGCGAGGTTAGAAAAGAGAAAAGAGCTGAACACGGTGTGGGTTTCATCATACACCCTGACAAAGCAAAGGAATTAATGAATACAGACTTCATTTCTGAAAAACTCATCAAAATCAGCCTTAGAGTGGGCAAAAAGACAACAAACTACATTCAAGTGTATGCACCGTGCAAAGACTTCTATCCAGACGAAGAACTCTCGGACTTAATTAGCAGCATCCCAGACTAGGAAGACCTTATGTAATGGGAGACTTCAACGGAAGAGTTGGAGAGAGAAGAACACCGTGGACAAAACACCTGGGTCCACACAGTGACCACAGAACACCATGCAATTATTACGGCAACCATGTATTGGAACTGTGTGCAGAGCACAACTTATTAATCACCAACACCTTCTCCCAGCACAGAGCCTCTCAGATCTACACCTGGTACAGATAGAACAACATCAAGGTCTCACCACAGATCGACTTCATATTAGCGAGACCTCGAATGCGGATCACAATCACAGACTCAAGAGCCATCCCCAATGCAGGCCTGGACACAGACCACAGGCCAATCACCACAACGTTGACCAACAAGAAAGAAAAAAAAAAAAAGCATAAAAGACTGCAAGAGAGACTAACTGTACATAAACTCGGAGATGATCAGGTGCAGGCTCAGATCAGATGCACCCTAAATGAAAAGCTAGGCTCTATCAACTCTACAATACTAACCGTAGAGGAAGCTTGGGACACCTTCAAAACAACTCTCCTGGACACTTTGAAAGAAGTCTGTGGTACCAAGAAGACAAGAGGAAAACACAGAAAAGCAACAGCCTGATGGAACGAAGAAGTTAAGGATGCCATCAGGGAAAAAAGAGACTGTATAATGCATGGGTCAAGTCTAAAAACGAAGAGGTATACTTAAATATAGACTTGCAAGAAGACATAACAAGAAAGTCGTTATGACATCAAAAGAAAAGTCATGGGCCCAGTATGGCGAAAAGCTAAGTGAAACCTGCAAGACCTCACCAAGAGAGTTCTACAAGAATGTGAAGACAATGAGAATGAGAGACGAAACCTATATACCCACCACTGTCATCAACGATATTAAAGGAGCAGCTCTACACGAAGAGAAGGAAATGATAAAGCGATGGGAAGGATATTTTAAAGAACTACTAAACCCATCAGGAGTGTAGGCACAAAATACACAGTGCCCCTTCACCGCCAACTACCCAGAGCACTCAGAGCCTACTATCCTGGAGAGTGAAGTGAGAGAAGCACTGAAGACTAGTCCAAAGAACAAGGCAGCTGGAGACGATGGCATCACAGCCGAAGCCATCCTTGCAAGCGGTGAAATCGGAATACATTGGCCTACAATCATCTTCCAGAAAGTCTGGAAAGAGAGAAAAGTATCAGCAGACTGGCAAAATGCGATAGTGGTGCCAATATGGAAGAAAAAGGGCAGCAAGAAAGACTGCGACACCCACAGAGGCATATCTCTTCTCAGCCATGCGGGGAAAATGTATGCAAAGATCCTAGACCGACGCACTCGCGCAAAAGCCGAACATCTTCTCAGTGACGCCCAGTTTGGTTTTAGAAAAGGAAGAGGGTGCACTGATGCAATCTTCGCTCTCCGACAACCGTGTGAGAGGGCTTTGGAATACGACCAAGATCTCCATCTCGTATTTGTGGATCAAGAAAAAGCCTTTGATCGAGTAAATAGAAACAAGCTATGGAAGATCCTGGAGCAGTACGACATCAAGGGACAACTACTAGACAACATCAGGGTTATCTATGCCAACAGTAGAAGTGCAGTCTGCACTATCAGAGGAACATCGGACTGGTTTCCAGTAACATCTGGAGTCAGGCATGGCTGCAATCTCTCCCCTCTGCTCTTCGTGGTCTACATGGACCAGATTACAAAGTAGGCCAATCCAGACCCAGAGGCACTCAACGAACTCATGTTTGCAGACGACCTGGCAACGATGAACAACAAAAACCCAGCTGCAGGAGCATATGAACCAACTAAATGCGAGCTGCGAGAAATATGACATGAAGATCAGTATTAGCAAGAACGAAGTCATGACAATTAGCAGGAGACCAGGCAAAGTGGATATCAACATCAATAGATCCCAACTAAAACAAAGCAGCAAATTCAAATACTTGGGCAGCATTTTCACAGAAAACGGAAAATTAGATCGAGAAACAGAGAGCCAACGCAGTCAGCTATCAACTCGGCCCTCCTGAAACATCCCAATATTCCCATGAGCACCAGGGCGAAGCTCATCAACGCCATTTTCCTTCCAACACTCACATATCAGTGCCAGACATGGTCCTAACAAAAGCCCTAGAGAGGAAAATGGTCACATGCGAAATGATCAGGTAAGAACAGCGGTCAACGAAACAAAAAGAGACAAAATAGAAAATGAATTTATAAGGGACACTGTAGGAGCAACACCAGTCCTACTACACATTGAAGAATAAAAGGTCAAGTGGTTCGGACACCTCACAAGGATGCCCTCAAACCATCCAGCTCTGAGAGCATACAACATTACATATTCTGGATGGAGACCAGAGGAAGACCAAGGCGACGATAGAGTGAATCTGTGGCAGACACCCTGAACAGAGCTCACAGGATGTCCCTCCTACAGGCCACTTGCCTTGCTGCAGACATACGCCTGGTCTCCCCGCGACACCCACCGGTAAAAGCGGAAGAAAAAAGTAAAGTAAGTTTT